TTCGGGCGTAACTGAATATTTTATACTCTTGCAACTTGCAAGGATGAAAATCGGCTAAATACATTGAGGTGTTGAGAAAACTTTTTATTAAATGTTGCGAAAGAATTCAACAATCATTATTGCCTAACATACATTAGGCAGGTACTTCACGTACTATCATCAATCTATATGCAGTAAACTCAGCCGGATATTCGAAAATACTGATATTAGTTATATAGGCGCTAGATCAAGTTTTCACCCAATTTTATGCATTTTAGGCACACAGATACATTGTCATTAAAAAAATACGCCCTCTCCTTGGTCGATATATGCGGTATAAAGTCACTCGGAAGTTCGAAAATCTTTATATTAGGTATATATGGGCTAAGGGCATTATACACCCGATTCAAACCGTTCTTGACATTCAGAAATGCTATTATCAGGAAAGGATCCTCTCCGTATTTTAAGTATATATCTCACATATTAACCAATACTTTCAGTAAAAAGTCAACTATAGGCACTAGCTCCACTATGTGTACCATTCGGTACCTCGGGGCTTAAACAGTAGGAAGTAGGCCTGGTTGTAGTCCGATTTCTTCTATTTTCGTACTGTAATATGGTAATATTATAGGAGTGTTATGCACCGAATTTGGTTGAAATCGGTCCGGCAGGTCCTGAGATATGTGATTTCACCTAAGTGTGGGTTGTGTCCCACCTATGGCAAATTTTGACACCGACTCTTATAGAGCCCTCTTATACCATCCTGAGTGTAAAATTGAATGTCTCTGGCGTATTTAGTTATTGATTTATCGCACCCTTAACAAAACCATTATATGGGGAGTACAGTGCCCCTATTTAGAGTGATATCTTGCACCAAATTTGAGTTCTGTATCTTAATTTACGGCTTAGTTATAGCACATTATCCTTTTTCTATTAATGTCGTTTTGTGGGCGTGGCAGTGGTCCGATTACGCCAATCTACGAAGCCGCTCTTACTTTTTTACCAAGGAATATGTGTAACATACAATACGTGTGTATGTCTCCTCAAGATAATTTAATTTTTACTCGAGTTATCGCTTGCACAGTCGGACGGACGGACAGTCACTCGGAATTCAACTCATCTCATCCACCTGTTGATTTATATATATATATATATCGCGTTAGAGATATTATTTTTAGGTGACTGTTAGGTACCGTTAGGTGAACAAAACTATTATACTTTGTAACAACATGTTGCAAGAGTATAAAAAGCTAATGCTAGTGAATAGCTCACGACTAATCGGAATCTCAGTACTGTTTCAAGAAAGTATTTAAATAAATATAAATAATAATCATAAACAATGCAGGCTATATTAAGTTTGCCACCCAAAGTTTATTACATCCAGAAATAAACGTCGGAGACCCTGTAATGTACATACACACATATATGGTAAATGAGCAGAGTGACAAGCTGAATCGATTCCGTATGTATATACGCGAACAAGTCCCTCAGTTTTGGAGATATTGATGTAAAATTTTGCATATGTCCTTTTCTTCGAAATCGCTGATATCGGACCACTATAGCGTATAGCTGCCATACAAACTGAATGATCGAAATAAAATTCTTATATATAGCTGTCATACAAACTGATCGATCACAATCAAGATAAAGTTTTTTTCATACACTTTTATAATATAAGAAATGCATCTGTGAAGCGTATTGTTGCTTCGGTGCAGCTGAAGTTAACGTTGTTTCTTGTTTTTTTTTTTTTTGTTTTTTTTGCTCATACAAATTAACTGTCAGTAATTTTAAATGCCACCAACAACTATGCTAATATGATGATAAATGTGCGATTAAGCAATCAATTTATCAATGCAAAGCGATTGAATTGATTTGGCGAATGACCAGTGTGTTAATTAATCATTATTTCATTTCTCGTATTCACATTTATTATTATTTAATTAGAAGTTTTAGAATCGAAATCAGCTGGCGTACAGTTCGTGAACTTTGAACAACCGGCGCAACTTCCTGATAAAAGTCCACAATGAGCCAATATTTCGACAATTTACAACATTTCGTGTTGCGCCATCACATACCCGCTATATATCCCACAACTTATATATATATGTATGTACAATACATTTGTATGTGTGATTGTGTGTAGCCTTAATCTTAGCGCGATCACCAGCGCCGTTATTGTGACGCTTCTTGCTGCTGGTTTGTGTGTCGTGCGCTTCGTTTTGCGACGCGTTTTCTTCATATCAGCGCGATTACGTTTAATTTATAATTCTCCATATCAAAAGTATATCAGAAGCGTTGTTATGGTTTTTTTTAAATAAATCAGTTACTTTTCAAAGTCTCGCTGAATACTTGCTGTACATTTTTTGAATTGCATTTTCTTGCTGATTCCGCTTTTGCTGACATTTTTACGAAGCACAGTTATTTCTCATATGAATTTCAAATTTATGCTGGGATTTTCTTTCCCGTGATTTTGTTATGATTTATTTCCAAATGCCATATGATTTTTATAGAAAAACCATCAGTACTGTTACAGCAGGCAACAGCGCCGATTTAACAATAAATTTAAATAAATTAATAAACTTTAATGTGCTAAGCTAAATATTGTTAATGTCAATCAAAGAATTAGTTTCTTTACAAAATCATTATTTTAGTACACCTGGACATATTAATTATATACATATAGAAATATTATATAAGAAGATTTATGTATGTATATGTTTTCATTATGAATCTAGTAGTTAGAGTTTGAAGCGAGTTTTCGGAGCTTGAGTTCCTCAAAACACTGATATACATACTTATATATCTAAATATGTAATATAGGTATGTAAATAAGTGCATGCACAACAAGGATATTTTCGGCTGACTATTTGTTGCACAAGCTTAGGCTAAAGTAGTAGATAGTCATCAGTCTAAGTCTGTCTTAAAATGGCGTATTCTCATTTTAATATGAACTTTTTGGCATTTTCACCAGCTTCGTATTATAGTGGCTGTGCTCCCACTCCCTTTAAAAGCCCATGAAATTGCTAATATCAACGCCTTCTATTGGTCGAAATATTTTATTAGCTGACCTTTGGTACCTGCATATAGTCAGAAAATATGCTTTAATAGGCAAACTGTTTACAGATGCTATCAACCATCAATAACCATTATATATAATATATACATGGCGTTCGTAGTCTATTAGACGGATCCACTTGCATTTTAACGGTAGCTTTACAATAACATTATCAAATAAACTAAGTGCGATATTTTTATTTTCGTTGTCACTTTTTCTTCTAGGAACAGAGTAATATATTAAGTTTGTGCCAATACGAAACAACGGAGACCCTATAAATTATATATANTACCCAAGAAGCTGCTTAGATATTTGTTGGAACCGCTGTTATCAGACCACTATAGGATATAGCCGCCATACAAATTGACCAATCCGAATAAAGTCTCTGTATGGAAAACTTTTTTATTTGGCAAGGTATGTAAACGATCGTCTGTTCTAATTTATTTTAATCTTCTTCGCTTATCTTGATTCTGATTCTTTATCTTTCTTCGCTTAAAATTTGAACCTTTTTTGGAAGCTTAAATTCTACGTATAGCTACTTTACTACTTGCTACTAAGGCTTGCTAAGAGTTAGACTATGAGTTTAAGATCTCATTTTTTTATTTGAACCAGATAGCACGAGTGCCATAATCGCCGTCACTCGTATGGAGCGTCTTGAAAAAGGTAATTCCGAAGATTGGCTCAGTAACCGCAAATTAATCATGTCTTTCTTTTACACGCATAAATTGTCAAGGTCTTTAGTGCTCTAGCCTCTAAACTTTCGCACCAAGAAAGTTTATGCGCAAATTGCCGAGAGAAAGACCTTCTCATGTCTTAAATCACTCATAAAAACCACACAATAATTTTTGAGATTGATATATTACAACAACAACTGATTAAGTTTTGAAGAAATTAGAAATTTTTAAGGTACTAAAAATTTTAAATTTTGAATTCTTTATGGGTTTTATGGGATGGTTTTTAGTAGCTCTCATAATATCATTCTGTATTGCCTGCCAAGGGGTGATATCTACTAAAAAATACTTTACTATATGGTGAATAAAGTTCAGGCAGGGGTCATAAACGAAACTCTAGATTTAGCGAAGCTTTCGGTTTACCGAAGTTAGGTTATGTCAAGACTGTCATTTATGTGATTTAGCGATTGTTAACCAACTTCTTTTTCGTCCTAAACATATTTTTGCCATGCATTTCTGTAATCTTCTCTACTCCTCTCTTTACACTTTTAATATGATTTTTTGTTTGTGGTAATCACTGTATATAACTTTATATATTTTTAGATTATTATATATTTTATTTATTGTTGCTTTTATACTTTTCATCACCTGCTGAGCTCTGGTCTTTATTCGACGGGTTTCAGGCTAAGTATTTAATAGAATATCTGCAACAAATAATATATAATATTATATATCAGCTGTATCTCAATATTGAGGCGTATAGTAAATGCCGTTACAGAAAATTCTACACCATTAAATTATAACTGAGTTTTAAAGCGCAGATGCCAATTTTACGTTTCTAAATAAACTCAAAATATCATAAAATATTTATTTTCATCTCAATAGTTGTTTAATTTGCAAATTTTTATTTAAGTTTTACGCTATCATAAACAACATTTCGACATTTAACAATTAATTTTTCATTAAAAAAATCATAATCAACTACCAAAATTCCTACTAAAAATATGCCGAACTCGCCAACATAGTCATAATATCAAAATTAGTTCAAAAAACTTTTTGACGTGATTCCCCTAGCTTTTGGTAAGCGTCAACCAAAGCGTTTGGCGCCAAGCAGAGCACTCAGCGCAGCGTGATTCACGCCGGTCCGACGGCAAAGTGACGCAGTTGGCGAGCAAAACAAACGGCGATGATTAAGTTAACAACCGCTGTGATTATCGCCAAGCTTTTGTGACCCATGTCAATTACAACTTCACATATTATATGACTATAGCGCCACCTCACACACACGCACTCACCTTGCAACAGACGATTCTCGGCATCGGTGAAACTCAACACCCATGCATCGCCCTCCATGGCGGAATTTTTGCCCTGCAACGCAATGCACTCCTTCGACAGCATGTCGAAGCCCTCAGTCTTAACCTCTGCCACAATATTGGGATGCGGCCACGGTATGCCGGGCAGCGGCCAGTGAGCGGCCGAACGCGGCCATAAGCCGGCGCACTTGAAGGCGGGCGTAATCTGCACAATGATGCGTTCGCGTATACGCAACTTCACCTCCGTGGTGTCGGCAATCATTTTGACAATATCGCGGTAGGCGCACTTGTCGCACGCCTGCGCCACCAGCGTTTGAAAGCGCGAGCGTATTTTGCGCGCTGACAAATAACCCGACGCGGTGATAAATTCCACCCATAGCGACATGGAACGTTTACGACCATCACTCAGCTTGAGCACCGCACAGCCGGGTAAGGTGCCGTCGTCAACGAAATTCAGCACACCCATTTGATTAAGGTAAATGACAATTTCGAATTCGTTGGGCGAGATCACTTCGAGACCCTCAAAGCGACCGTTGTAGTCGTTGAGTGAGGAGATGAAACGCGGCTCTTGCACTTCGACCTCCTTGAGCACATCCTGCACGATGCGACACACCTCGAGTATTTGTTTGTGGATTTGTGCTTTGCGCACCTGTACGCGATCCGCGCAATATTTGTTCATTTGGTAGACCATTTTGGACTGGGCCGCAATCATGTCCGACGGCACGAGCATTTTTACGCTTCGGTTGTGTGGTGTCTCTTGTGTGGAAAGGCGAGTGCAGCTTTTGTGTGCCAAATTGAATACCGCTTAAGATAGATTACACTTCTGTATAAGATGCTTGCTGGCTCTTATACCAAGTTTATATCAACCTTGAATATTTTTGCTTATCTTTTCACTATTAATTTTTGATGAAATCTTTAATATTTCAATTTTTATTTTCATGCACTTTCAACTCAACAATTCACTAACCGAAACTTTTACTAATAACTGTTGTTAATTATTTTTTTTTTTTGTTGTTTTACACCGATATCAATTTCACTTGAAACACATTGATACTTTGCGGTTTTTGTTGTTAATCACCAATCCACACGCGCCATTCACACCCATCATCAACAGCCGTCGTTAACGCAACAATCGAAACGTCACCGCCGTCGCGTTCAAGTTTCTTGCTACACTCGTATTCTTGTACACACAACGCCAAGCTCCAATGTGGACTGATTCCGTATGGCGCACTCACCGCAAGAAAACCAACCTGACTCACCCGCCGTCGCCACTTCGTTGTGCGCTGTCGCTGCCCTGCCTCGGCGCGCGAGTGCTTGCCGCTCAAACAGCTCCAGCAATTGAGCGACACACAAAGTCTCAGCTGCCGTCCTGCTCTTTCTCAGCGTGTTGCCGTTATCTAGCTGTCCATTTGCTGTTGATTTCACAGCGTTGGTGTGACAGAGAGAGTAGACAGCTGATTGGTTTGTGGGCCTGCTGCATAGCCGGTTTGCATCTGGTGATGTGCGTATGTGTGTGAGTATGTGTATATATAAGCATGTAGGCAAGCCTTATGTGAATGTGTAAATTTTGTTGCTGCTTTTATTACGGTTAAGTGTTTGGTGTGGTGTTTTCGCCACCTCTCATTGTGAATATAAAAATATGAAGGCCTCTATTTGTTTGTATGAATATATGTACGTATGTAGGCATATGCCTGAATGAAGCAACTGCAATGGCAGTTTCCCATTGTGTATTTTGTTTTTGTTCACAGTTTGTGTTTCCAGCGCTGAGTTTGCGCTTTACTTGCATATTTCAAGTATTGTAGTTAGGCTTGACTTTTGTTATGCTAGTGGTATTACGTTAGTGGCTGATACGATTATGTAATAAAATCATTCTCATATGTAGTATTATGCGGTAATCCAGTATTTACACTAATAAATATTAGTTTAGTTAAAATAATGGAAATCGTAGTTGTGACTCAAGGTGTGGCCGGGTCCAAGTTGTAATGCCAATAATGTATTTGCATATATTTTATGGTAGTTTGTATATATGTACATATGTATATGTGTATGTATAAATATGTATATCGATTTTGTGTGTGTAGGCTATATTTCCTGCATATAATAAAAAATAAGCGCACAATAATATTTAATGTACACATTTTTATTGATGTTCGAAAAGGATGTGTGGGTAAAAAATTTTTTAGATTAAATGGCTATGAATGAAACTTAAAATTATTGATATTATTGTATTAAGTTGTGGTTCGGACGACGTTGGCTTAGCTTAAGTTAGGTAAACAGGCTGATATTCGTGAAGTCACGAAGTAGCGCACTTAGACAGCTAGAAACGCTGGTCCGTTGTGATGCAGAGTCCTCCTATATACCAAAGAATCATAATGACTTTCGCATATCGGCAAAACGCGTTGAACCTGTCACAAATTTGTTGAGGCGGCTGATAGCCAATTCCATCCAATTTTCTTGCTTCGTAGGAAATGCTGCAACCATAGCATTTCGAAAGCTCGAGAGTATAGGAGAAAGTATATATATGTTTCCACTCCACCTTCCTCCAAGCAGTTTACACAATTTGCATCCTCTAAAATAGTTAGCCTTACTATGAGTTAAGAGTGATCATAGGACAGTGACCAGACGTAATATCATTGCGACGTTATAAACTTATCTAAAAGCAAGTAATTCGAGGTTCATTGAACGATCTTACGTTTCAATCTGTGCCAGTAAGATCTCGCTGTCGCGCAGGTGTTAGTTGCTAAACAAATCGTAGTGAACTCGCAAATTCAATGCTAGAATTCTACAATGCAAGGGGCCAGCGGAACACCGACTTGTTGCCAATGTGATGAGCTTGGGGTAAAAGTTCACTGAGGTAACTAAAATTATTTAAATGAGAACGCTCCATTGCAAGTAATGTAAATTTCTGTTCTCAAAATATAATTCTACTGAAAAAGGAAGAAGGTCTCAAAGATAATTGGTAACTGTAAATATTATTTTTTTGCTTTCATAATAATGTAAAAATAGTAAATTATATGTATGTAGTATATATGTATTCGACAAAATTTTATTGTACTTGTATTTAACTCTGATAAACAGCTTTTTGCAAGGACTTTGACCAAATTGTAAAGCGGTCTAAAATTAACAAAAAATTCTGATTATCTTAGTTCAAATTAATTATTTAATGCATATTTATACACATATGAATGTATGTATTCATATTAGATTGCTTAAATTTTAGACGATATTTCTTTTTAATCCAAGCTATCTGAAAATTTGATTATTTATTAAGAGAAATTGTATGCCTTGCAAAAGTTATAGATACATACATTAGAGCGGATCGATTTCACTTAAAAAATCGCGTATGCGGGAAATTATCCACGAATCAATCTGAGCAACTTTGCGTAAGAGACTACGGCTCTAAAACCGATTTTGAGTCAACGATTTTTAGGTGAAGTTTAGCTTTTAGGGATTAAACGCTGAGCACATAGACGACGACAATTAAATTAAAATGATTTCTAATTTAGTCGACATCAATGGGCAGCTGCAGTGTTGCCACTAATATGTGATTTTTAAAATTAATCAAAGCTCCAACAAGTTTAACGTTATTTTACAAATAGACGCATAAAATAGCACTGATATATCACCGTCTTCAAAATGTTCAAGTAGCTGGCTTCTAGACGACATTAAAGCATTATAAAAATTTCTTGCTACGTTTTTGAGATATCTGTATGAAAATTATTACACATATAGGTGGATTTTGATATTCTATCGATCATTTGTGGGCCAGATCGGACTACTAGACCATATCTCCCATTTAACCGATTATTCAGTTATTTTATTTTCCCGTTGACTGCCTTTAATTAAAAAGCTAAGAGCACATAATTTTGCATAACTGCTCTCTAATACATACTTTACAATGACAGTGAAAAAAAAGAAAGTCGGACAACTATAAGATATAGTAGATTATTTTCTGTGTTTAAAATTCTCGCAAAACTTATATTAATATATAAATTTCATGAATAGTGAATGGAATGTTACAAATGCGAATTTAAAATATCGGACTTGCCATTATCATAAAAACATGTACACTTTTTTCTTAATTGATGTATCTGGCAACGCCACTCTACCTTTATGTGTATCCATTTAATAACCAGCGAAGCTCCGCCCATTTGCCCTAACTCATATACCATGTAACACACACACACACACATTTTCTGGCGAGAGCGAAATTGCTTAGCAATTTTACACAGATAATCACCAACACTAACGCTTGAAACGGCAGACACACCAACCACCAGCGCTCGGTAGCAAATAACAGCAAACACATGAAGGCGTTTAACTAAACAAACAAACAGACCGCAAGCATACAAACAGACAGACGGACAGATAGATAAACTGACAGTAGCGGCAGAAACCACAATCATAACAGCAGTAGACAAGCGCAAGCAACAACAACAACAATGTATATATGATCAATGCGAGAAAGCAATAACAATGCATGACAGCAATAAATGTACATAAATATACTTGTTTGCATACATACACAGTTTGGTATATACAAGTGGTGGGTGCACATGCCTACATACATTATTAGGTTCTTACGCATACATACATACACATACCATCTCATGCCGCTCTAAATTGTATAGGAAAAACCGCGGTTGGCAGGGGTGGGCGGTCTGGCGTGTGCCCGTGAGTGTTTGGCTGTCCACCCCTTTTAACAGCCGTAGCCGAAGGTGGCCCTTTTATATATGTACATGTGTGTGCACACCCGTTCACGGCTTGTTCATTTATGCATGTATGTAATCGCCCTTTTCCCCAATTTATTTCGATTTATTTATGTTTGCATTTTTCATTAGATGACTTGCTCGTCCTGTTAAGCTAGCTAAGGGCTACGCACGGACTGTAAAGGTATATATTTAAGAATGTATGTACATATGTATGCATGCACGTATGTTGGTATGTTTGTAGGCACAAAAGCATTCCGGGAGCTTTAAGGTCGCTGCGACGTTTCAAGTCTGCCGCCACAGACAAAACAACAAAGAAGCAATGGCAACAACAAAAATAAGTTTACCAATACACAAACATATTAACTTGAGCATCGATATTTCTTTGTTGCTGTTTGTATCCTTCACACAGCTTCATTGTAAGTTACATAATTATTATATTGATATATGCGCATACATACGTATGTATATGTCGGTATTTATGTAAATATGTATGTATATATGTATATCGATTTTATTTATCTCTTTTTTTTGTTAGTTTTCCTTCCTGCCGTTTGCTTTGAGTTAGTTTTAATGCATTTATTGTTGTAATTAATGAGATTTACTCATGAATTATCGACACGCAGCTCCGTACGACAAGATTAAGAGCCTCAGCAAAAAAATATGGAAGTGAATTGAGGTTAGAGCAAAGAAAAAATTTTGTAGAAATAAATTTCATATTGATAGCTTTCCATATAATTTTTTATATGCATATATACATTAGGGTGGAGTGAAAAAACAGTTTTTTTTTGCTTAGCCTGAGGGTAAAATCTGTAGATTATAAAAAAAGAAAATTTTTAGACAAAAAAAAACTGTTTTCAACATCTAGAGGCGCACTCAGTTTTAAAGTAAATTTTTGAGTAAAAATATTATATAATATGTATGTACATATATATTACTAAAAGATGAAATTATATGTTAGTTTACTTAGTGGGTTAAATCCGCTTGAAAGTCAGCAAAAATCGTTTTATTGTAATTTTTTTTTAAGACATTTTATTTAACTAATCAATAGAAATAATTATGTACTTTTACAGAATTTAATGTACTTTAAAAAAAGCAAATTTTATAAAATTTTGAATCAGCTTTTGAATTTCATAGCTGATCACCGTAGGAACCTCCGAAAAAATATGTCTGGCGGTGAGTAAAGATTTTTCTGCTTAAAGAGTTACATGCGTTTCGTCGAGCCAAAAACGCCATATTTTCAATAACTTTTTGTTTCATATAAAAAATTACATATTTTACTCAAACTTTTTATTATTCCGAAGATACATATTTGATAAAGATTTTGTGAAATTTGCAAACGAAAATATTCAAAACTCGGTCATTACGACGTCATTTTCGGCAATACCTCGGAAAAAAGGTGCTGCCGCGTTGACAGCAGAACTTCTAACAGGATTATCAAAAGTAAAACAAAATAAATACGTCTTTGAACTAAGACCATTAACTAGGTATTGGACAGAGAAAAGACGAATAAAGTGAAAATTGCAGTTTTGGCAGACGGTTAAAAAAATCGCAAATTTTGCTGAAAAAAAGGTTCTTCCGCGTTGACA